TTAGCGGTGCTCACAAGCTGAGAATTTCCACGTACACCAAACTCGCACCATCGGTGGTTCGATCATGACGAGTGGAAATAATGCAGCGAATTCTGAACTAGACATACAGCTTACTGAAACTTCCAATAGGTTTTCTAAACACCAAAATTCCTCAGTAGGGAATACTGTACATCTGAGCACGCTTCCGCCACACACTGTCCGGTTGTCCATGAAACTTCAGTAACGTTTAGGGAAACTTGTGAAACCCTAACGAAGGATATTTTCAGCCGTTTATTAACGTTGGTTTGTTCAGAGAATTCGAGAGCATCCTTGATCTGAGTAACTCTTTGGTCGTCAACTGTGCTCTTTCATGTCTGACGATCACTTTCACCAAGCAGTCCTGAAGCTCACACAGAAGCTTGGAACCGAGCGGCCCATACAATGACGTGCACCCATTAGGATTGTTTCCATCTTCCCCGCTCTCAAATCACGCTAATCTACCGTGATAAGCACAGTTTAGTCATCCAACCCAAATTTATTGTGCCCAAGTGTCTGTTCTAATTTTGCGAATGTTAGTTTTCCTAAATCAGAAATGAACACATTGTCGCAATTTTTCCTTGTTGTTGGCCTGTCCATTTTTGAGAAAATTTAGGGTATCACCCAGGCTTTCGAAGTGATACCAATGAAGGCGGTCATTAATTTGTCCACGGAATTAGACAGTTTGGTTGTGAATGTTCCGTCTCTAATCAGGGTAACATCTCCAATGGATCGATTTTTGATGCGGCGGTGAAGTGCGCCAGTGGGTGCATGCTGAGTACTGGTATGTGTGCTGCTAGTCCGGGCTGACCTTCGTTCAGGAAGCTCGCCTAGAAGAGAAACTTCCGACCTTGAGATGGTTCTTTGTTTATAGGTTTACTCGATTTGGGAGGTAACAACGGGCGTGAAGCTTTAATGATTGCATGACATCTGGCTACATTCGGAATCATTCAAATGGACTCGAACAGTACCCAGATGGCCTCAGAGGCTCGTTCAGTGGAGAGACTGAACTACTGTAAGAAGAAGTACGCTGAAAAATTGTGCACACTGGTGATTTGATACCTGGTAGACTGGCAAAAAAAGGGCTAATGGCCTCAGAGGCTCGTTCAGTGGAGAGACTGAACTACTGTAAGAAGAAGTACGCTGAAAAATTGTGCACACTGGTGATTTGATACCTGGTAGACTGGCAAACAAAAGGGCTAAGGAATGCTGTAGCCCAGTAAACTGGGTTCTGCCTACGAACCCGTCAAAGGCCTCCCTACGAGCCCCTGATGGTCTTGATCAAACCAGACAGCCCATTTCGGACATAGGAAGTAACTGGATTCTTTTTTCTCCATACCCGCATTCCTGACGCCCAAGCAGCCGTCGGCTTCTGTGCCCCCGGTGTCAAATATTTAATAACGCTGAAAGTGTCAGAAGAGCATGTTCATTATCCGAAGCTTCCACAGATGTGAGTAGTCTGTGGTTTATTCGGATGCCATCATCCATCGATAAACCAGCGTAGCATCTGGGAGACGGCATTTTGTGAAATATTCGTGCTAGGCAAACAAGAAATAGAATCGACTCTTCTGGTATTTCTTTGAAACCCATTTATTAGGTGTCAAGGTGTGAGTTGCATCAAGCGACACCCCAGAGGTTACTGTTAACCAGAAGCACACTATTCATCAAAAATGCATTTCCATGGAAGGAGGTTGTGATTTCACGTGGAAATCCGAACCAACTGCTTGACTTGCTCAGTTTAGGAACTCCACAACCTTTTCATTCTGGTCACTGCTCCTTACAGTGTTCCAAAAAAAGCAAACCGTATGGATCACTCAAGCGTTCAACCAGGACTATTGTGCATCTTGTCATTGTCCTCGCAAGGGAACAAAATGACACGATGCCAGAGTAGTGAGCGTTCTCCAGGTTAAAAGCGGTATTTAAGGGGACTCCAAACAAAGATACAAAAGGGGGACGTATACATGTGCACCGTTATTCGTACCATGACAAACAAAGAACTTTGCGCCAGCATGCCCGGCTGAAATGGCAGTTGCAAAACCAAAATGATGATTATAAAGGTAACGCAACTCTATTGGGAACTCGGATAATACTACCTAGCTCCTGTCCACGGTCTCACTGGCATCGGCCTGTAAGACAAACGCATGACATCTTCCGAAATGTGTAGTAAATCCCGGCTCAGGCTATATGGGTGATGGTAACACCTTTCGATTATTTTCCCTATGAGGGTTAAACATTTTGATAAGAACGCAGTATGCTTGTTTATCGAGGCAATGGATTGAAAATGTTCGCATTCCTCCACGCAACACACCACTTATGAGGATGCTGCAAAACACCAAACGAGAGATTCTCAACTCACCATTTAACACTAACTTAATTTACCAATGAATGTAATTCGTCAATTCATGCTTCATTTTGCAACGAATTAGACAGGTTGACGTGAAAGTAGATTTGAAATCCCCAGAGGCACCTTAATCCGACTAAAGCGTAGACTGCGTTGGTGAAATGGATTATCGATGTGGAAAGAAGTACCACCACCTCTGCTGACGTTTAATTTGACAACCTAAAGATCCAAGACACTTTGTAATCCTGAGCTAGTGAGTTTGACTACATTGATCATGGTCCCTGAAGTGGCAACCACCTAAACAATGTAATTCGTTGAAGGCGCAGATAAACTAGACGTATGTACGCGTGCATTGAAACTATTGAGCGAAAAGTGCTCAAACGCAGACAACTCAACAGAAAGTAAGCTTATCGTCTGGACAAGCTGTCAAGATTGCTGCTTTTGGTGGCCTCCTACGTAATGAATGATGCATTACCATATGGTCTAGTAGAGTCCATAAGAACCATGGCCTTTTGTCAGGAGTATCGCTAGTCTGAATGCAGGTTTTTCTGTCCAAAAGAATAACTCTTCATTCGTGAATACCAGTCGCCTGAACTTTAATGTCCGAACTGAGTTACGAACATTCGAACGCTTAAGACAGCCAGATTTCAGAGTAGGTTATGAAAAGGGGTACAGCCAGAAAAGGCATTCTGCTGCCTGAAGTAGTTCACTCCACTACTTCTATACAGATCTTCGTACAAAAGTTATGACAGTCCAAAAGGTCTACTGCGTTTGTGGTTTTGTCAGCCACTTATTCCAAAAGATAGCGCTGACGAGGTACTGACTTTGCTGTGGTGAATACAACCAACACCTATGAGAATAAACGAGTCAAAAATGATTGAATCGTGAGCAGCCTCGGTTCATTCTCCTTAGGCCGACGGTTTCACGAAAATCGCACTGAAGCTGTTACGTTTCGGTCACGCAGCGAGCAAACAATATGATATGCGGATTGTGGCAATACTCTATCCCCAGCTGTGTTGCTTGATCCAGACTCCTAGCACGGCGGATAATAAGAAGACAAAAAAACCTCGGACACAAACTTTAATGATCCAAAAACACGCGATCAACAGGCGATGCCCCGAGCTTCCGAACCCAAATCAGTAAAAAGATGGTATCGAGTAAGTAAGTGGTCGGATTTAAATTTCTTGGAATATCAAAAGGACATTGATTTATTCATAGTTTGACCTTGAAGATGCCGGAAGTTCGCTAGCACACATAAAAATACAGCGTTTTTTGGGGGATATTGATATCCCCAACAGAATCCCACAGATATATAGGGCAGCTGATGAAATGTCTTTTTCAGGTCTTGAGTCAACTGAACGGAACACAATATTGCTGATCTCGAGCGTAGGCTAGCACGTTCGCCCTTGCAATGATCGGCGAACATCGAGAACGATTAAGTGCCGTCCACCGGAGTCTGGGTACGAGGCAAATTATTCGGTAAAAATGCACATTGGTCGTTCAACATTTGAGCGCACAAAAAGTGGGTTGGTTACATTTTTCTTCCAGTGTTTGCCTTACTTGATTACTTCACAGAAGACATGAGACCTGGTTATCTCCGAAAGCTTTTAATCTCATTTACAGACAATGAAACATACCACAGTACACCCATCACGGGGTTTCATCACTCCTTCAAGCCCGGATTACTGGATCAAGGAGTACGGCCTTCATGCACGGTGAAATACTTCTTTACCTTGTCGGTTAGATTTTGCTACACCATTCCAGATAGACGTTCTGGCGGGCGGTAGTGCCGTCTGACGTTCCTTCAGGTGGAAACATGCTAATTGTTTGAATAAGACAGCTGTATTCTTCGTTTTGCTGACTGTTGGAGAATTGAATTTAGGGCGCACCTAAATTACGCGTACGAGCTTAAGAGTTACCGCTTTTGTGAAGTACACCTGTTCCTACTACCTATATGTCACTGCGATATCATGAATCACATAACTTTGAAAATATGGTGGGAATGAAAATGGACTGAAAATCCCAGGATCATATAGCGCTGGGAATGGCACTCAGCTTCTTGGTGTTTTACCTCAGCTACCATGTATGGGACGAAACTGCTTTCCTAACCGAAGCACCGGTTAATTCCACATGAAGAACTTCCCAGGGTCCCCTAACGCTGACTACCTACAGGTGCGCACAATTCAATGCACCTAGGTTTCGCCGAACCTGTTGATTATGAGCTCCGGGTTCGCAGTTCCCGAAACAATTATCATTATTACATAAAACGGGAGAAGCGATTGGACTCATGACCAACAAACCGGAGCTGACTGTCACGGAAAGTTCATTGACCTGGCTGGGACTTTTGGAATATGCTATCGCAGCGTTCGACCGGATACATGCCAGCGTGCGTGGCTCGAATGATAGCTCTAGCTGCTAGCTGGAGGAGAAGCGAGTCCTAGCAAAGCTTCTTCGGATATATTGATGGGTGAACACCATTCGACTGAGCAAAGGACAAACAGAACACCACGCCAGGCTGAGTGGCGAACAGAGTAACACCAACCACCTTGTGACAAAACAAGACTGCGTAGTCGCATGTTCACCGTAAAACCATGAGCCACGAGCAACAGAATGATGCAGTAGACAAGTGATACATAGGTCCATTCATATATATATACTGCAAATATATTACAAGTATAGAAATAACGCGATCAACGAAAACCAACAATGCTATGTGAAGAAGCAAACCAGAACACATTGACGCACATAAAGAACAGAGGATGAACGTTAGTCTTACACAGAGATACACAGGTGGACAGCTACCCCAAAAGAGCGTAAAATCCAGAGAGAAGGAATCTGTCCACAGTCAATAAGAAAATGGGTCTAAAAGGGTTGATGTTGCTTGTTTCACTGAGACCCCAAGAGACAGTTGTCCTAAAACTAGCAGCCTGATCTAGTGTAAAAGACCTTAAAGAAAGAAAGCAGGATATAAGAGAAACTGGGGACATGAAGAAAGAGACAAAAGGCACCAAAAGCCATATAGATTGACATGACAAAATTTGCTCTAGAACTTGGCGCTTCAAAGTCAGGAAATCAACGTAGAGTTCTTGGTTCCCACGACATCCATTTGGGTAAACAGAAATGCACAACCTGCATCAAGCAGGGATGTACAGGATTCACATCTCTAAAGAAGCTTTCGACTAAGGGAGGTGACGGTGGGTACGCCACAGAAATAAATCAGTTCACACAAAAGAAAGGCCAAGTACTGGTTGGTGGGACTGTACAAAACACCTATACATAAGCAAAAGTAGTTTAAGCCAGTAGAAGGTAGACATTACTGAATGAATGCAGACAATAAGATGCACAAAAATGATACACATAAATCGAGCAATTACGTTCAAAATAGTAAGTAAAAAAGTCATCGCACTACCTAACGATGGCCGGTGGCAGTGGTCATCCCCGAGTTATTATCCACAGCTAATCCGGAAGCGGATGCATTGCACTGCACTGCACCTGTGCTGGAGGCCTGCAGCTGAGTGACCGTCGTATTGTGTGGGCTCAGTCCAGTTCCGTTCGCGGACACTGCTGTCGCCTGGACGGCTGACGACTGAGGAAGAGAGGAAGCATCTTGAGCGTCGACTGGAGACGTAAGTTCAGACAGCGCATTGATTTTTGCCTGGAAGCAAAACAAATGAAATTATAGGGCATAAATTGCTGATGCTGGTTTTAGGATTCCAAATTCAACAGCTTTCGCTTTCAATGTAAGTTTGCAATTAGAGCGAATAACAAGCATTCTGCAGAACCAAAAATGCGAGTAAATCAAGTACGATGTCTCCCTTCCCCAGCTCGTCAATGCAACAGCAATACGTGAAAACGGCTATTCGGACTAGTCATCCGAGATTGTGGTGCGCAGAAAAATGCGAACGTCTTATCCAAACGAGGCGGCTTGATGGGGTTTTTTTAGTTTAGGTAAGTTTATCACTATTGCCCTGCAGCTCAAGTGATATAAGCTGAGCTGTGTACATGGTTGTACCCATACAGAGAGACAAGCCCTCAAAAGAAGCTACTCCGCACTAAGCTTTAAATTTTTGATGGTTTTGTCGACCATTTTCGGTCAGACCCTTCAAATGGTCTCCCCATACAGAGGACCATACAGCGGAACTCAGACAAACGATACTAACACGAATTGTCAATGAAATCGTAGATAAAACTATTCCAATCTACACGAATGTCGTTACGCGTGATGATACAGATATACTTTGGCCAAAAGAATCAAAGGTACACGGTGAGAAAGATGGCTACCACTTACAGGAGGGTTGGCGTACAGACAGGCGTTGACCGCCGGTCCCGTGTGTGCATTGGAAGACAAGATTGAAGACGAATAAATTTTAGAATGCTGCTGTGGTTGGGCAACCAGAGAAGTCGCTGCATGGGCGATGGGCATAATATGTTGCCCCGAAGCCGCCTGAGGGGTAGCCAATATCGTCGTCGAAGCGGAGTGATGTTGACGAAACGCATGTTGTAAAGTGGTGGGATGGATCAGGGTATTTTGTTGTCCAGAACCGCTCCCATGTGACTGTAAATCCAGGAGAGGAGCGAACGCCGCATATGGAGAAAGGCATGCAGCAGTATCCAGATGCTGATTTCCAACTGCATTAGCAAGTTGTCCACTGAGCTGCTGTGAATGTCGACCAAGGGGTGTTCCATCACAAGGGAAACCAAGAGGCTAGAAGTAAAAATTTCCGTTAGACACAACTGAAAATGAAGCAGAAATTCACACCAAAACCGTTGCAAGCTGGACGGCACAGCGTTGTTCAGATATCAACATACGGCATTCATTCACCAACCAAACCCATAAATCAATAAACGGAGTGATAATGAGGATTGCACAGAGTTAACGAGTTGACTAAGCAATCAGAACTACGCACCGAATAGTACGCACCGGAAACTCATATTGAATAGAAACACGTAAACAAAGTCTGGATCTAAACGACTGGTTGCGAAGCGTTCCAAACAAAGAACGTCCCTTTCTTTACAACCAGAGCTGAACTCAACGAAGGCATATGGGAAGAGGAAAGGCTTCCAAAAGAAGTTGGTCCTCGCAAACAGGGAGAACGATCGCAGCGTAAAACAGTAGGACCGGATTGAAATGAAATTAAAACGGCTGAACGTATGGAGAAACGCTTGAACGCTACTTGCACTGAAAGAACGTCTGGGCCTACCTCAACCGACTCTAGCAAACCAGAAGAATGGTTGCTGTGATCAGTACTGTAATCACTAGTCGAATTGGCAGCGAAGGGAGAGCTCGTCTGATGAAAAAACATAAGCTCATGCCCCGTTCCAGTAATAGGACTGTACAAGTAGGTCGCCGGACCGAGAGTGGTAGCAGTTGGAGAGCCCTGACACAAACATGCGATAAAACAAGCATGCAAAGCAAAAACAATGAATTAGTTTTAAAAACCTCGTGAGTTCAAAATACGATTTACTCGAAAAGATCAATGAAGTAAACATCCTCTCGTACAGTTATGACAGGTAGTGTACAAATGACAGTTCAAGGAGCATACCACGCGGACATATACGGATAGGTTAAATAAGTCAACTTTAAAAACCTCGGAATAGTTTACATGTCTATGCATAACTGGCTTCTAATGTTGTGGGAGAGTCTCGTTCGGGTTTCACAGGAATATCATTGTCATATCTCGGCTTTTTGCTAGGTTGCACAGATGCGTCCAGAGTGCTTAATCCAGCATTAAGCAAACTCGCCGCACTTTGATGTCCATTATCGACCGAGCATTCAGTGTGATATAACAGGCCCGGAGCTAACAAACCAGGATTGTTCATCGAAGCCGAAGCGAGCACTGCTAAGGCTGTAGCAGGTGATATATCGAAAATCCCACCGGTTCCTGTGCCAAGCGCGTTTGCTCCAGGTTGTTGTAATGCGGCAGCAAACAGAGCCGCCGTGGATGCCGTCAACACAGAAGGTGAGGTTAACCGAAGTGTCGCTGGGAGGCTCACAGCGCCTTGTTGCAATAGAGTCAAGGTAGAATCGCTTACCTGTGGGTGAGTATGAAGACTCTGATTTTGGATTGTTGGTGTAGAAGTTGTGTTTCCTACAGCATTGGACGCAGTAGTGACAGAACCAGTGTTGGACACATGCGTGGAACTAGTGACGTGTGAAGTCTGTGCTTGCTGTACTGTGGGGGACCAACGCCAGGCAGCTTGTTGCGCAGCGACTGCAGCAGCCATTGCGGCAGCCTGTTGTGGTGTAAGCGAAGCACTTTGTACCATTGTTTGTGGAGTGCCTGCCGTCTGGGGAACGCTGTGGGTGGTGACGGAAGGAAGCTGCTGGGAAGTTTGATGAGCGTTACCTGCAGACTGTTGCGGCCACTGGACAGCGGCCGCCATTGCTGCGGCTGCGGCGGCCATAACAGCTGCGGTATTATTCGACTGAGCGTTCATATTACTTCCGCTAACAGTGACTGGGGTAAGCTGTCCTGCGACTGATGGGGCTATCCCTCCAGTGATTCCGGTTGTCTGGTAATGCTGGTGTTGTTGCAACGCAGCAGTCACTTGTTGTTGAGACAGCTGGGCATAAGGCGACGCTGTAGCTGATGCGGCTGATGGCAAGTAGAGCGTTGTACCTCCACCTGGCTGGGGTAGCATCATTGTTGCATAAGGAGCCGTAGCCTGAAATCAAAGTGTTCAAGGTGATAAATGCTGTATTCGCCTAAAACAACCTAGAATGTCAGACACATATCGAAAGATGTTCAGGGTTCATGAAAGCTATCGACAAATCAATCCACAAAATCAACTGGGCTTCTGTTAACTCTCAAGCACAGCGTCCATAAAACCTCGGGAGCGTTGAGCACAATAGAAACTGAAGATAATGGCAACAAAACCTGAGCTGGTCTAGTGTTTAAGACGCAACATGACAGGTAGCTTCTCGGGTGCCCCTGTCTTGACTTGGACTATCCAGAAGTATCTCAGCCACCGTGCTTCATTGGAGTTGCAAGGCAGCTATGCACCGAAAGTGTCATCGCTACACGATGTCTTTCCTCATATGGGTTAGCTTGTGATCCACTCTGCTGTCGAACAGAACTTCCGTAACTCAAGTTGCACAGATGATGTTAGTTTGTTCGATTAGCAGAGTAAACCGAAGAACTGCCTAATGTTGTTGAGTTTTAGGTCTAGTGGACAAATATTGATGGGAAAGTTTGCGCGACTTGAAGTGGACCTGAAAAGATTACCTCCAGTTCTGTCCCGCCTACGACGAGCCGAAGCGCACTGAATAAACGTGGTCCACATTTCAAACTTATAGGAACAGCCACATGCAGCCGGTAAATTCGAGGGATTATTTAAGTAGGAGTGTATAAAACTGAATCTAAGTGACGCACACAAATTTCAACGAAGTCAGTGCGCAGAAACAGCTAAAGTGATCCTGGTTGAGATGGGCTGACAGAGATCAGAAAATGTAACTGATTGGCGCATGGGGTCAGTAGGATAAAACAGAATGATTCATGTCCTTACTTTTGAATGGCTCGCACCAAAGAGGAAGTTCAATGATTTCTGCTTTTAATTTAGCTCGTTCTTATGGTTCCATTGATGACCTTCCAGTTGAAAAAGTGCACTTGACCTCGATATTACATGTGCCACTGGGTTGAAAACAGTCACACACTGATCCATTACGAAACGGTAGTCCTCGGAGTCGCCGCACGTCAGCCCTACACCTTCGGTAGCTATGGAACATTTCAGAAAAACTATTTCGTATGTTTGCTACCATCAAACTGAAGTTTGGAATGGGAAAAGACCAGGCTGTCATTCGCAGAATTGTGAGCTACAGATCAAAACTGACATCACCTCTTCCAACATCTAGCAGAACCTCGCACGGATTGAATATGACCACAACCTATTCTGTTTGCCGGATTAGATGGGACAGGACTTAAGCGCGATATTTTTTCCGACCGACTAAACTTGCCGTCAGCGTGCAGCGATACCACGGTGAACAGAATGAACAGGATATCCATGCACCTATTCACCACAGCTCCATATGTTTCAATGCTATATCCAAGCCATATAAGAGGAACTGAATTCCAAATAGCCATTAAATTTTTACTTTTTTTCGGTTGAATATCTTCTAAGTCAAGATGAGTCGACCAGAAACGTCTCGAACAGTAGACGAGCACGGATACCAATAGCAAACATACAGTTTGTCAGATCTTGTGGATCGAGACTGATGAGATTTTGCACGAATTGAAATCAGTCTGCAAAAGATATTCAGTTATCGAAGTCACGCCTACAGTAGATCAAAGCACGGTGCATAAGCACAATTGCTCGTCGAAGATATTTTCAGCAGGTTGAGGATATGGAATATTCAGCCTACTTAAACGAACTGACTGAAGTTCATTCAAACCGATAGAAAAAGCACGAAAACAGCCTCATAGCTACCTTCTTACCTATCTACTCGTATAAGAATGAGATATACGTACGGGGGAAGAAATCATCGTCAGCTGTAAGAACCGCGTATCTGTCGTATAGTGGCTGTAGCTGCCACAGTTTCATTCACCGATGATTTGGAGAACAGGAGTAGACAGCTGCACATTGGATGCGGGAGCTGATGAATTGGTGTGTAAATGCGGCAGTCAGTGGACTGTTAAGTGGGGGGTTGGAAGGGAGCTATGCGTTGAAGGCAACAGCGCCAGTGAGGGGGCGACTGGGCCATGTCTGACAATGTCTATAACCATTGATGTGGCCCGTCTCGGCGTCCCCATCCAGGAAGACGTCAATGACCAGTGCAGTTGAGTTTGTTGGTAATGGCTTTTATACCTTGCTGCCAAGTCACTGTTTGACCGCCTCTGGCTCTCTTCCAACCTCCACGGGGTTTGCAAGAACCTTTAGAGGAAGCCGGTTGACTGGCTTACGCAGCACACGGCCAAGCCAGCGCAACCTATGCAGTGTGATCAGTTCTATCGAGGGTGAGTTATCTCTTCCAAATACCATTCGACGTACTTCAGAATTGCTGATCCGGTGTTCCCACCAGAATCGGACAATGCTCCGAAGACCGACGGCCAAACCTTGAAACTCTTTTGACGTCCTCAGCACGTAACGGCCAGGTTTCTGATCTGTATAGTAATACGGAGCGCACCGCAGCATTATAAACTCGACCCTTGACAGAGAAGCTGATGTCACGCCTACACCACAGGTGACGTAGGTTCGCAAAAGCTGCTCTGGCCTTCCCAACCCGGATGGAAATATCATCTTTCGCGAGACCACCGGGACTGATAGAGCTGCCCAGGTAAACAAATTTGTCTACTACCTCAATCGGTTCATCCACAAGATAAGGCTGGGGTTCGAGCCCACCCAGTCTTGCAGTAGCACTTTACACTCCGGTGTGAAGCGCATGTCATACCGTGAGGTGGAATTATTTAGATTATTTAACATTGTTTGCATTACTACGGGGTCTGATCCAATAAGAACTATGTCGTTTGCGTACTCTGGTTCGTTTGAACCCTTCACGCGGTTGTGCGAAAAGAATCCTTCGAGGAAGTCGGTCGACTAGCATGCGCGGCGCGTGGCGAAGAAACTGGATGCTGAAATCCATAATATATCCCGAAAACCAGAAAATGGCATCAACTGATGCCGATTTTAGCATAAATCATCATCATCGTCACCACGTTTTCGCGAAGTGATCAACACCTACCTCCTACGTAGTCTTGTATGCAGCAGTGGTTCGAAGCCTAACAAAACTATTATTCACTGGCCAGGGAATTGAAGTTCCTGACAATTATTCCACGGCGAAAATCATATAACGACCATGTTTTTCAAGCACAACTTACACAATTTAAATTCTGGAAAAATAAAGCTGTAGGCACTGAATGTAAACAGCTTAGCTTCCTAAGATTTCCAAGGAAAATTAAATAAAATTAGAGAAATAACCTCTATTTCAACCGCAAGATGGCTGTTGATCGACCGTGTGGCGGATCTGCGAGAAATCAAAGGTCAAACTAATTTTAGAATCATTCATCTACTTCGCTACCCTAACTGAACTTTAACACCATGAAATTGGCTTAAACTGATGTTTCCTCCCGAATACATGACAATGAAACTCATCAATTGTAAAATAATGCCTAATCAGCTTGAACCAGATATGAACTCACTACGCGGTGTGGATACGATGGTTAATCTTGATGTATCATAGTCATCCTACAAGATGCGTCTTTATTATCCAAAACATTACAACACTGCCCCCCTCTTGATTTCACTTTGAAAGATCCTAAGAGCACTGAAGCAATAAGCTAAGCGAATTCATGGCCTGTGGGTCATTGATGCCTCAAAATCATCGAAGTAGACCTTGATCCATGTTACAAGTTCCTTCCAATTTATAATACGAATTGAACTGATTTGTTGTGAACCCAAATGGTGGAGTGAATTCCAGGATTTGATCGATTGTACTGCCACCAGAAGCACCACCCTAATTTTGGGTTCGGATCCAATAGTGTACTTATCGTCTGACATATTATAAAAATAAGTAAACCTGGTTTTGTTGCATTGAGCGGATATGTCTTAGTAGCACGCCCGACTCGCATGTCAGATGTTCGGAGTTCAAACCCCTGCTTGGCCATTGAATATGCCATGCTGATGGGCTGTAATAAGAGCAAAACTCGAGTCCAGTGCTTAACCCTTTTTGGTGTGGACTCACCAGAATAATTACGCCGGGACAGGAGGACGACTGTTAAAATGCGGGTGATGCGAATGTGAACAATACATATCCCACAAACCCCAACAGCAACAATAAATTAAAGGATCAAGGTTCAGCATGACTACGTACCTAGATCGAGCAGCAGACATTATTTAGGGATAATCTCATTCCTTATTTCCGGTTAACTTAAGCAGCTTCGAATGACTGAGACCCACAGTAGTACAAAAGGATGTCTCTATTCAACCACAAGAGAGCAAGCAGTGCCAGCATACAGGGTCGATATGTAGTCAGTAGCAGTCAAATGCCCCTGTTCTCTTTGGTTTCGCCCTCACAAGTGTGCAAACACATACGGAAGCAATACTCAAGTCCTGCACAGTCATCACCAGATCTTGCCAGTTCACAGGCCCCGGTAAACACAGGGTTGGCTACAGTCGGTAACGTTTTGCGGCACGCGATAAAGTTTGCGAAAAAATGACTATTACGACATAAAGCACGCACTAATCATTTTAAGTGATTTGCAACGCGTGCGTATATGTGGTTACCCCTGCCAGGAAAAGTTTCACACTCATCACAATATTGAGTATTGCACGGTGAACCTCAATCTTCTTTAAGTTTCGTTGCGAACTACGTTTCATGAAGGACAACCGATCTTCGCTAGTTGCACATAAAATCATCAATTCGTTTAAAATTAGTCCCTCAGTATTTGTTTGAATTTACTTTATAACCCTAGCTTTCAAATCTAGACTGTGTTCATGCGATTGGCCTTCTACTAGTCTGCAGAGTTTTGAGTACCTTAAGCTGGGATTGGTGCACAGCGCACACAGTCAAATCCACCTGTCTGATGTTGAAGTTGGTGTAATTTGCATTCTGAATCATTTCAAAACTTAGTGGGAAAAGACGTCACTGGTACAAGAAGAGGCATACATTTGCGTATCCTCCTATCCCTGAAATCAAGTAACACTTAACGCCCTCTGTGTATCGCAGTGAATTAAAACTGCGATCCCAAGGGACCTACCCCAGTCATCTCAACTGTTCGATACTACACGGCTCTTCGCGTGCACTCCCAATCAGATTAGTGGGCTACATTCGTAGTCTCGCTGGGGACAACCCCAAACACGAGGCAGACGTGTCGACATGGCTGAAATATGTGGGTGAATTGACAGCTCAAACTTTTAAAACCCTTAGAGATGATACTTGTAGGTAACATCTGGAACGCAAAACGTCAATTTCAAATATCGCCGTACAGCGTTGAATTCCTCTGGTAACTCGACTGATGCCGTGTACCATTTTCAACAAGTCGCATTCCGTGAAATTAAAGCGGGACAGTAGACGTGACGCCGACCCACAGCGTCTACTTGGATATCCAATCTTATAAAGGGTGCGCTACTCCACGCTATCATTGTTTACATGGAAACCCTTTAGCACAGCCTCTTGAAGCTTGCTTAAATATCCCCATGCTTTGAAAAATAACATAGTGATGAACACTAATGTTTTCGGGATCTCGTCATCAGGTCAGTACATATCTAATGGTTAAAATGAGTCTGGTTGGTCGTGTGACACGAATCAACCAACCAACTCACTCAACTGCCCTCGACTGTCTCACAGCATCCAACTAGATGTGACATGAGGGGCGCAGACAACCGATCGTTCGTGTCTCCACATTTTGCATTTCACTAACCAATCTTTGCTGTGTATTTCATTTTTCGCTCCTATTTTAACCACTAGATATGTACTGACCCGATGACGAGATCTCAAAAACAAATGTTCTGAAAGACGCCTAGACCACACCATAGAGATGTTTCAAATACGTCAAATATCGGAACAGACCAAGGAAGGACCGTACCGAGGAAACTGGAAACCAAGATGTCTGAAAAACGCCATTGAGGACACCGAAGTTCGCACCGAGTTTCTCGATTTAAGGAGATACCTATCGATAGCTCATAATTAACAGGATGGGGATAGCCAGCTAATAGGGATTTCGTTTGAACGTATTATGCTTCATTTCATTTGATCGCCAGCGTTACCGGGTTTAACCGACGTCGTTGCCGGACCTGTTGCGTAACGAGTATATCCTCTGGAACAACCTGTGCAGACGTATGCCCGGACATTAATGTAACTGTCGACATGTCTCCAACACTGGTTCACAAAGCATTCTAATTTGATTAAGGGTAAAGAGCATGAACACACTAGTCCGCTTTGACAAGTAGGAGGGACTACACCACGATCAGCTATTGTCTGCACGTGTCCGATGGTCTCCGCTTTCTTTTATCAAATGCACAACGCCTAGCACCACTGATCTTGCGCGGATTTGAGCCAGTTCCTACTTTCTAACCATCGAAACAATGTAGACCCTTGCACCTCCGGACACCAGATTATCGTACCATGAGACGTTAGGGCACAACCCAGAAGTAGGGCTCGTTCGGTCATGAAATTCAAAGTAAAGTAACCAAACTGCCCTCAAAAACAAGTTTGTTGCTGTTACTTTGTATAATTTACTCATTTCAGTGCAGACCTTCATATCTCCAGAAACTTTATGCATACGATTTAACTACTTAATGAATATAGATCGATACAAACTTGCGGATTGAAAAACAGCCAGTAAAACTGAATGATAAAGATCAACAGATGTGTATCTCTACTAGAGTGACGACCCCCAGGAAAGAACGTGCCTCCAACCTATGCAGTACGTAAACATGCTCTATAGAACTTACTTGGGTTAGCATGGGATATTCCTGTCCGGGCAATGAAAAGACAGCCATTCCGTTCTGAATACTGTAAGGCATTGCACCACCGGCGAAGAACAAAGCAGCCGGCAAGTCTGAAAAGAAAATAAGGTGTTAAATAAAACAGCTAAAAGTGGAACAAACGAAATATCAAACTCGACTAACCGCGGCGATGATGCGTCTTTCAACTTACCCGCTCTGGGGAACATTTGCTGCAAAGCAGGTTAGTCAGAGTGAATGAAAAATATAGAAATGTCAACGCCCTTCCAAAGAAGAAAAGTGGTAAAGATCAGAAGACCTGAACACCGTAACATGCGTGCCGTGAACACAGTACCGAACGGCCGTTTTCTGGGCTACTTTCAAAGCAATCCTCAGGAAAGCTGAGCGGAAAATGGCGTCAAGCTGGAAGACTGGGGAGAAGAGCCTGGTGGTTTTCCCCGTTCGCCGAATAAAGATATGGAGTAGCAAAGAAAACTATGTCGTCTGTCCCCTATGCTCCCAGCCTCGTTCATCAAATATGAAGCTCACTAAACGAACAATGAACAGAATTCTCTGCGAGTCCCTTCTAGGAAACATTGAGAGCCATGTGCCACCTGTCATCGCAAAGACTACCCGCTCAAACGGATCATCAACTGCCTTCTACCCCGCCCCTGGTCAAATCACTACAAGATCCATCCACTCCAATTTCATTGGTAGTTGCTAACTTTCACGATCACACAAATGGTGAAGAGTAAGTGCGGTGGCAAAGAAGCGACCAGTGACACAACAGAGGATGAGCTATATTCAATAGATATTAACTGCTTACCTGCTTCCGGATTGCATGGCCGATGTTCAATTTGCGGTCTTTAAAAATCAGTGTCTCAGACTAAAGTAGATCAACGAATGAGGGGAAATTACCTCATTTTTTATTATCTTCTCAGCCATCTCTTGGCTTTCGAAAGTGACAAATCCGTAACTCCTATGGAAGGGGACAAATAACCAGACTGCAAACAAATTACCCTTTTGAAACACCAAGACGATCACTAATGATCTTGACATCTTTGACTTGTCCAAAACTGGAAAAAAAGCTCTTCAGTTCCTGTTCCGTTGTCTAATTGTTATTAGGGATAGAAGCCTAAAGCCTTACATTTGAGGGGATGCCACCCACAAAGATTCGATTGGGAATGAGCGTGCCGAACTTTGGAGGATTCGATGAGCCGCCGGTCAGGGAATGACATGCAGTGGGAACAAGAGCCGTCTCCGCGACAAATCTATCAACGCGGTCGGTCGACTGTAGGTTGAGTCCAGCCTGAATCCAAAGAAAGGAAGGTCAGCGACTGGCAGTAGCCCCGATACCCTAACACCAAAAGAGGACGGCACTCACCATGACTACCAGCGGCTACGGCGAGAAGGTCCAAAACGAAATAAAGCTTCACTGGCTCTCTCCTAAATCAATGGGCTACTATGCGTGGGTGGACCAGGGATATGGAAACGGTGGGGGTACAATCATTCGAAGAATGTAAGTTTGAATAAAATTTTCCAAATAATAACGAGCAATAGTACTCAAAATAATATTTAATACCTATAGAATGCGAAAAATTTTGTTTTATGCCCTTCTGCCGTTAATTATTAGAAATGATGATACCCCTGTTTTCAATTTCAGGCGCATCGAACTTAATTGACTCCCCATGGCCTGAACGACATAAACGTGACACTGGCTCGGACTCCCAGTCTATTGGCCTATCGGTGCTCAACCAATCAAAGTCCTCCCTGCTGTGGGCGCCCGGGCCAAATGTCTCTTCGTACGGTCAGCCCCCGATGTCGTTTGCGGCAATACGAAAGAGTACACGCAGATTTGGTGACAGCTTTCTAGTTGGAACATGATGCCAGGGCTGGAACTAGGTTATGGACGGATTGCGACATCGTGCGCAGGGCCGACAAGCCTCTCCTACTTCTTGTGTGCAGCACCGCAGATGAAGCTGCTACACACAGGTGAATGAGATATGTGCGTTTCTACTTTGTGAAGGGCACCTTCGGTCGTAGGTTCACGAACCACAGTTTTAATTATTCAACAATGAGTGGCCAGTGATGACAGATAACTTATCTAGAAAAGATGGTTTATCTTGTAAACATTACTTGGAAGTCAGGCGTGTAGAGAGCAATTAGGAAGACCTTTAACAGATCTGTCACAACTCGGATCAGTACCTTGGGCCCGGGGGCAGAGGGACAATAATCCAGCATATCGGGAATAATGGCGAACATAGTGACTCCTATCGGGATTCGAACAAAACATTAGGAATATGTCACAGCGGAAGCAGAAACAACCAACTGGGGAAGCGTGTTTCGGTCGCTAAGTACACGGGTCAAGAATGAACTATTCGAAAGGAGTTAATACCGAAAAACTTTCACTGATGCCCACAAGCTGGTCCAATGTTACCAGGCGGTTTCTCTGAGATGCAGTGCAAAAGATATCAAATATAGATCAGATGCTAATCTTTGAGGAAGGTCAGGGAAATACATCCAAATGGCGAAGGCATTGTAAGTAGCTCAAGAAGCACGAATCCGGTGGAGATTGTGATCCATACCTGTGAAACCTCAGCAAGTCGTCAGATTGTTCTTTCGTCAAAATAGATAACGCAGGACGATTACACTTCAAGCTTGGTCACACGTGGGAAGTAATATGATACTCCCGGAAGGCTATCCGGGAAAGCCGACATCCACTGGCTCCTAGCAAATCCAACCCAGGGGTTTATTTCTTGCGGGAACCGCAACACGTTCAAGATTTGAAGATAGCATGTTGCCGAAATCTTTCAGTTAGCTAAAACAATATCATAACACTTTAGGATGTATTTTGAATTTACAGTCATTCCTTCGGGAATGCGAAAAGTAGTTTATATCTGGAATTATCTATTTCCATGTAGATTCTCCTTTTTTTCAGTGCTCCGTTTTGATCATATCCTGTAGCCTTTCCACGTGAGAGTTTCCTATTGGAAACAACTGCCTTTAATATCATCCATTCAGGAATAAAGAGGAAATCGACAGTGTATACACCAGCCAATGAGAACGTCATAAAGTTACGCACCCCAGCTACTTCGACTTGGGAGGCTCGACAGGAAATGCGACAATTTCCTAAGCAAACCGATATATCTAACCTGTTCTCACATAAAATGGCAGTAGCTGCGTTCTCGTCATTTTGAAGAAAAAGGTGATGTCATGTGTTAACAATGGCTAGTCACCTTCACGATTTACGTGTGGATGGTCATGACAGACATAATATTAACACACTGTTTATGAGCACATAGCGAGGTGACAAGTGTAGCAAAATTTTATGGAAGGCATCTGCAGCACGTACATTTTCCATGTAGATTCTCCTTTTCAGTGCTCCGTTTTGATCATATCCTGTAGCCTTTCCACGTGAGAGTTTCCTATTGGAAACAACTGCCTTTAATATCATCCATTCAGGAATAAAGAGGAAATGGGGGTAGCATGATGGCCCAATTTTTATTCTGAAATGATGTTGAGGAGATACTGGTACTTTCACATCAGCTGAATCATGCGTCAATAAATATTCGCACAAACATGTTTTAGCGGATAAAGGACATCTACTACACAATTTCTTGGTGTCTGGAAATGGTTTCCGTAGAACAAATTGTGAAACTGATAAACGGTCTTTATGAGGAGGTGGTCATTGTATGGGAGGATTTTATGACAAGACTAACTCTACTGTCCATCTTTTGAGCAAATCCATCGGTCAGGACGATCTTGGTGCACATATTTAATCACAGAGCTGACTATATCTATCCTACTCACTTTTGTTGTCACAACCAAGAGATATTCGTGAGTCCGACCGCTCGGACTTTGAAAGCACTTGGTTGTTGTAACGAAATACAGTTTTTTCGTTCTGGCTTTGTGCGTTTTTATGGGGATCGCTCACTTTTCTTTGCAACTGGATCTCGTTGAAAGGAGGGTCTTTTTCAACACAATTCAGATAGCAGTCGCCGACGCTGACACTGGAACTGCAGACTTATGCACTATAAAGTTGTCCATTAGGATGCTCTATTATGTATGATAGCAAAAAAGAACACGAGTGAATACTGCAAAATCAGTGGGAGAAGGGGAGAGAGAAACAGCAGCGGTATCACTCAACATGCAGCATTATTTAAGCGACTGTTACGTTTGATGATCGAATGTTCTGCGTAGGAAAACTGCCCCATCTGCCACATTTGGGAATGAGGAAAGGATCGAATGTTGAGACAAATGAATACCCCATCATCGTTATTCAAGCACTTCTCCGCTTTATGACCTTGGTAGTCTTTGTATCGAGGACCAGATCTGAAATGCAGATAGCAGTTTTTCATACTGACCTGAATTCTATCACGGCTGAGGAAATTTGCGCGTCCTTTCCTTTGAACAAGTTGTTTGGCAGATGTGAATTTCGGTCATTTGTCTCCAAAGGTTGAAGATTATTTTTTCCATGGCATTGAGTTCGATTTCATCGGCGGTTGATCCTCACAGGTTGAATTTGCTTATTTGATTTGAAAGACTATGCGCAGAAAATGCCATTTAAACGTGTCAAATAAATCGGCATATGGTGTACCCGGTGTACAGGCTTTATACACATGCAAGAATGAAAGCAGTACAAATCAACACACCACAATATTTGGGTTGTTTTTCATGTTGCGTCAAACCAGAAACGCCTTCACCAAGACGACCACATGATATGCCTGCAATCATGGGGTTTTGGGATTTTACCAATGCAGCTGAAATTCGTAAAATCAAATCCCTTTTGCTAGCTGCTTGGAGTTTTTCATCTTAGACTTACGGTGGATGTCAGTAAGAAATATTTTTCTCAAACACTTGTATTCAAACCTCTGCCAGACACCACGGAAGTGAAAACCGTAGTCAGTCATCATCATCATCACCATCATCATCATTGACAGCATGACATCAGTGTTCAATGTACGCTAATAAAATGAAGCCAGTCCTGAGCAGCCGCATACTAACAATGGCGGGTTGAAGTGAATAAGTAAGGAGATGTACGTCACTGAAAAATTGCAAGGTGATTTTGAGCGGATGTGAGATGACAAGACCTCAACGTTGTTTCGGTCCCGTATCGTAATAGGAAATATAGTTGATTAGATTCGCACCCGAGCATATACAAATTCCCCCGGTAGGCCGAGATTGCGCAGGGTGATCTTTTGTTGTCTGCACAGAGTGCTTTGCTTAAGTTATCTGACAGCTTTTGTAATGCACTCACTACTCATAAGGTGCTGAAAACTCCTCGACAGCCCACGACCGGTTTCGCCCTTCTTCGAGCTCATCAGGTAGGCGTGGTCTCCGAGTTTCCGTCAACCTTATGTTCTACTTGAAACCCATTCTCGCTTACCTAACAGTTCTTCAGGCTGTTGATTCCATTCGCGATATCCCTATTGTACTGGCTTCGTGCCATGGATTTCAGCTTCTCCAAAATCTACACAGTACTTCAGGAGCATCTTCGTCCATATTGTGAACTTGGCATGTTACAAACTGAACTGATGCCTGTTGTACACGAAAGAAGGTTCACGGTAGTAGTCGATCCTTTTCCAACTGGCCTTCACTTTACGGGACGAAATTATGGCTGAACTGTGGAACTTTTGAGGGCCATCTTTCATCCTACGAATTGTCCACATTAGGTGGATAAGTTCTGTTCTGTTCTGTTCTCACACATGGTTCTCACCACATGGTTATTTTATTTCGCAACTTATTGCGTCCATTGGTAGTTTTGGTCGGCTGTAGACGTTCAAGTTACCTTGAAAGAAGCGAATCGTACAAATCAAATTCATGCTGGCCAAGCCAATCGTGTTATGTGTTTGTGCATAGAGACAGTGGCAGACTTTTCTTCCTGTTCGGTCGTCTTTTTCGTTCGAGGAGATCCTGACTTGTCCGCTCGCAAAATACCCAAAGACTTTCATTCGTTTATTTCAATACCCACTGTTTGAAACCCGTGGCTGTATTGCAAGCCTAGTCCTGACGCCTATGAGTTTTCTTCGAGCTGTGGTATTCGTTGGATCTTGGATTAGATTTAATCAAAAGGAGTATTGATGCATTCCACCATTGAAAAGAGACTCAGTCGCGTTTATACTTCATTCCAGTTGTACTGCTGGTTTGACATCTGCTTTCACAAAGTCTCAAACCCCTTATTGATTTATTAATTTTCTTGACACACGGTAGGGCAGTTTTACCAGTTTAACAGGGTGCAACGCACATTGCATTCGGCGTCAGCCAGGTCTCAGTCACACGATGAACGGTATCTACTGTTTCAGTGAGCTTCTTTGATTCTTTGCGTCAAAACTGCTCTGCTATCATCTCCTATTGAAGCGATTCCGAAAGGCCCTGGTTCCCTGTTCCGAGAGCTGGGATCTCTGAAAAGGAAAAAGCAGTCACCTGAAGTCGACGATATGATCGCCTTCGCTGTGGGGCTAATGAATGTGTAAGCGTTTTGCAGCTGGAACAGAGTGATCACCACCAACGAATTTTATGCGCCCAGTATTCTTTCATTCTTGTGGTCTGTAGCTGTGAATTCAACGAAATTCTCCATAGGCTTCCTTGTATTTTGCTGTAAATGATGAGGTTGGGTCGTAGGTTGGGTCTATCAGCGTGTGACCCTTAGCCCTTAAGTGACTTGCATTTCTGAAGCCGGTTGTGAACCGCCGAACAACTGCGCAACATACCCACATGAAGCCGAATGCCGTGCAATGTTGAGGTACTGTCCGTTGGTGTAGACCGGAAATTGGTGGAAAACGGATGTCAGTCGCTCTAGCTTACCTTCTGGGGCGATACAGGACGGTATGCATTCGTTAGGCTACTCTGCGTATCCATTGCCTCTTCTGACTAGCGAGGGGGCCATGTTTACCAGCCACATTGGTAAAGAACTGACTTTTGTTTGTTGATGTGCCGTTGCCAGATCAGTTCGAGCTCCCCATTGGATTCATACCTTTTATCCTTTTCTACTCGATCGCTGTAACAACCACAGGAGAACCAAAAAACGCATTCGGCGCCAAATCTGCTTCCTTTCTCAACATTTTATCGATTGGCACTCGATGGAGATAGTATTATCACATCGGCTATATCCGCACAGCCAAAAGAAAGTTTCCTTTTATATGGGTCTTGTTGGCCCCATTAATATCGCGTTTTCTCTACGGTTTTGTGACCTTCCAAGCACCATCAGCTCCATCTTTCAGCATCCGTTACAGTTGGGGATGTATCAAACCATCTGTGTAATCACGATCGACAGTACTGACTTCATTCACCACGGCTCATTTAGTCAAGCCAGTCATTCAGCCCAGTCAATCGACCCGGTTTTCAGACAGGCGGCTAACAGGCTTGCCTAAAACGATACCACTGGTTATTTTTATCTCGAGTGTATGACTCATCCTAATTCATTCTAGCTGAGGCTGAGATAATAAGACCCCATAGAGAGAGAGTCTACAAAAATGGTCATGAGCCCAAAGCAGGCTGCTTTTTTTCAAAGCACTCGGCTGAGACCAGAGCTTAAGGGGTAGAGCAATGTGCAGGCTGCTTTTTTTCAAAGCACTCGGCTGAGACCAGAGCTTAAGGGGTGAGGAGAGCAATGTTCAAACTGACTTGACTAGAAAAGTGTAGCTTTTGATCATCGCTCAAAGTTTCGCGTGTACATTTTCACTTGAAAAAATGCTGCTTTCTCTGGTGTTGAAAAAAGTGACAAGAGGCCGTGCGTCAGAAATTGAAAGTTTGCGAGACCTGTTTGTAATTTTGAAGCGTGAAATTTGCGGTGAACTAAAGGATGAGAAAGCATCGCTAACATACTGGAGAGGTCAAAGCCAGGGTGACAGAACTTGAAACATTAGCGCATTTTAACTTAACACTTTCTCGTGCTCTAGAGTGACATTCTCCGGCGAAACCGCACACACAGGCCACCGAATTGACTGATCACTTTCAACGAAATTCTCCATAGGCTTCCTTGTATTTTGCTGTAAATGATGAGGTTGGGTCGTAGGTTGGGTCTATCAGCGTGTGACCCTTAGCCCTTAAGTGACTTGCATTTCTGAAGCCGGTTGTGAACCGCCGAACAACTGCGCAACATACCCACATGAAGCCGAATGCCGTGCAATGTTGAGGTACTGTCCGTTGGTGTAGACCGGAAATTGGTGGAAAACGGATGTCAGTCGCTCTAGCTTAGCTTCTGGGGCGATACAGGACGGTATGCATTCGTTAGGCTACTCTGCGTATCCATTGCCTCTTCTGACTAGCGAGGGGGCCATGTTTACCAGCCACATTGGTAAAGAACTGACTTTTGTTTGTTGATGTGCCGTTGCCAGATCAGTTCGAGCTCCCCATTGGATTCATACCTTTTATCCTTTTCTACTCGATCGCTGTAACAACCACAGGAGAACCAAAAAACGCATTCGGCGGCAAATCTGCTTCCTTTCTCAACATTTTATCGATTGGCACTCGATGGAGATAGTATTATCACATCGGCTATATCCGCACAGCCAAAAGAAAGTTTCCTTTTATATGGGTCTTGTTGGCCCCATTAATATCGCGTTTTCTCTACGGTTTTGTGACCTTCCAAGCACCATCAGCTCCATCTTTCAGCATCCGTTACAGTTGGGGATGTATCAAACCGTCTATGTAATCACGATCGACAGTACTGACTTCATTCACCACGGCTCATTTAGTCAAGCCAGTCATTCAGCCCAGTCAATCGACCCGGTTTTCAGACAGGCGGCTAACAGGCTTGCCTAAAACGATACCACTGGTTATTTTTATCTCGAGTGTATGACTCATCCTAATTCATTCTAGCTGAGGCTGAGATAATAAGACCCCATAGGGGGAGAGTCTACAAAAATGGTCATGAGCCCAAAACAGGCTGCTTTTTTTCAGAGCACTCGGCTGAGACCAGAGCTTAAGGGGTGAGGAGAGCAATGTTCAAACTGACTTGACTAGAAAAGTGTAGCTTTTGATCATCGCTCAAAGTTCCGCGTGTACATTTTCACTTGAAAAAATGCTGCTTTCTCTGGTGTTGAAAAAAGTGACAAGAGGCCGTGCGTCAGAAATTGAAAGTTTGCGAGACCTGTTTGTAATTTTGAAGCGTGAAATTTGCGGTGAACTAAAGGATGAGAAAGCATCGCTAACATACTGGAGAGGTCAAAGCCAGGGTGACAGAACTTGAAACATTAGCGCATTTTAACTTAACACTTTCTCGTGCTCTAGAGTGACATTCTCCGGCGAAACCGCACACACAGGCCACCGAATTGACTGATCACTTGAAGAGTCAAATTAATATACAGATTATTGTATTTGGGTTCAAACAGAACACAGAGTGGATGGAAACCCTGGGAATTCATCGACCTGATGAGCCCAGAGAAAGGCGAAACCGGTCGTAGTCTGTCGAACGGTCTTCAGTAGCCTTAGGAGCAGTCAAGAAAATTTACTGCGATACCTCGAAATCGTATCAACTGAAACGTGAGGCGGACCTTGTGTGGAACATTTTGTTGAAGAATATTACCTATAGGAGATTCGTCCAGGATTCAGTTGAGTCTCCTGTTAAAACCATACTGATGTGCAAATTTGTGTATCTCGTGAATTTGGCCGATACGAGGGTTGGCCAGTTTTTAACGGTTTATAACAGAGACTGCAGGCTAACAACCATACAACCTGTCCGGTACTGTAATGAACAGGAGAAAATTGGTTCTAACACTACCATGACCGTCACATATCTGAGAAGGGGCTACTCATGGCAGAAACATCACAGAAGCAAGGACTAAATGCAGAAGGCAGTACTTTCCAAGAATGCTCTAATTTGGACATGGAAGTAGCTTGCGTACAGTTAAAAGAAGTCGTGGTGAAAGCATCTCATAAAGGTGACAAAGTTTGGATATTAGCTTTATGTTGGGAGCAAAATTGGTATTTACAATGTATACACCCACCCACTGACAGTTCTACGGTGGAAACTCTGGGTCAGCCAACGAGTCGTTACATCCCACCGCATTCTAGAACGGCTACTACAGTTTGGATCCTCAGTACGTGCTCAGCTCTATCATAATGAGAAATTCCGTCCTGGTCCCCTGAATCCCAAATCCCAGCTTTCGTCCAACAGGTTAGCGTCCAGCTTAAAGACAACTGATGTGTTTGTCGCGATGTGCACGCTTTGTGGATAGTATACACCACAATTCCTTGGCGCAGCACTGCTGTACTCTCTTCGATTGCCCATTAGATTGTTTGCGCTACTTGAGACCCATTACCTGAGTTTATCAAAACAACATGTTCTACTTGAACACCAAATTTTACGCAGGCGATGAACTGCATTCATTTGCAAATTAGTCAGGCGTTAGTGCGAATCCCCCCTACACCAAACGTGACAGCAACTGACTGCGAAGATTGTAAGTAGAAGTTACGGTGCATGGTGAGAGATAACTAAGCCGGGTTGGTTGACTGTCTTCGTTGGATTTCGCACGGATGGTCACTTGTTCAACCCAGTGCGACAGATACCTATGGGTGCAGAGCATCTCACGCAGGGTAGATGCGTCTCAACTAACAAAGTCCGGGTGGTGAGGATCACCGATCTCCCAGACATTCGGCTTGGAATAGCGCGTCGGCACAACGCAGCAGAAGCCACGGTGCCACAATTCGAGGATTAGGAGTAAAGAGGACCAACGCAGCAGAAGCCACGGTGCCACAATTCGAGGATTAGCTACGCGCGTTGTGGTCTTTGTCACTCTATCGCATGAGTGTGGTGAGACAGCGGACGGCTAGCTGGCGCTATGGCGACCATCGATTACGCGTTTTGAGTTTTTCAGGCCGTGTGGAGGTTTCACAGCAGGTCCATCGCCTATGTACAGCTCTCAAAAGTGCGCCGTGGGTGAAGTTTGCACTACATTCATTCGCATTTTGCTAGGTTGGAAACTGCTGTCAAACGTGACTATAATTGATGCATTTTCCGCATAAATGTGTCAAAGTGAGGCATGCACACTGCATGCACTACCAAAATAATTTGAAAAACAAGGAGGAACACAAACTTCTCGTGAAGCTGTGCAACGATTTGAGAACTAATTGTGCTCAAAAATCAACCATTAGGGTCAAAACTGACGACCAGGTAGTTCTGGTGCTAACTGATGCTCACAGATGACCGGATAATTACCAAGACTCGGATGGCAACAGTAACGACGATCCAGAAAACCTCAGCAACTCGAAGCGTCGAGATGTAGACAGGTCCCGTTGATGAGCAACCTGTATGAGAGAGAAAGCCCAATTTTCAAGATTTCCGGAGTTCAACTACATCTTCACCAAGATGATATTAAACACTACATTCAGATCACGTCCAGTTGAACAGCTCGTCTGCAATGGGTATTCTTGGCCCTGCCGGAATTTCAACCCTAAACAT